GAAAATTACATGATACAACGTAAGTATTCGTCAGTTTCGAGAGACGATTGAGTTTACGAGAGTGGTTAGCCAACCCCGTCGCAGATGTCTGCTCACCAGCGTTTTATATTTCATCAACTCCACAGAGCCAAAGTGTGCTTTATACTTCAGGTATGTTGAGTGGATCTGCGTTCAATTCTAATGTAAAAAAAAAGGAAGCATCATTTATCGTGATCAATAGTTAACTAAGACAAGTACGCTCAGAAACTAGGTCAAAGTGACCTGTGATTTCTGACAAGTTCTACCATCGACGGCTTCCCAATATTTGGGCGCGTGACAACGCGGCATCGAATCTTCAGCATATTGGATTCTTCAAGGGGTCTTCCTTAAAATATCATCCTGGGATGAAAATCATTGCCTTCTAGCCCCACTTTGTAAATACTACCACGGCTTGGATGTGTGGATGATGCTGATGACGTGTTATGAGTGCTTAATGAATAGGGCCTTGAAATAATAAATCGGAGAATCGAGTTTCTCTTAGAGAAAGTATGAGTTCATTATTTCCCTTGAAGCTAGGCTGTGTTTTATAGCCAAGGTTGACATTCGGTCTAAGAGAAGGAAAATCTGAATTCAAAACCGCATCTTGCCTTTAGATCAAATGATAAGTTGCCTTTTGACAACGCATAGTATCCGGAGGCCATCCAAAATATGGACGTAGGACCCTGCAAGGATTACGAGAAACAGCATCGGCTGCAGAAGTTTAGTTGTGGTCAATGGATGGATTTAACTGACCAGATTTATAGCATTGAACTATAATGGTGTCATGCAAAAGATTCTCTATACTGGACAATAGATGCGACCTAATTTTTCTGAGTCAGATGCAAACTCTGGGAACACAGGTTGCCTGATGTCTCCGAATATATACGTAAACGAAATCAATATGATGACACAGGTAAGCATTCTAACGGATGACTTAATTAGTTAATATTGAACCAAGCCTGGCGTTATTATATATACACATTTACAATATTACATTCATAATGTGGTTTATTGTTTGGGTAGTATAAATGATTTTTGAAAAGTTATACTGATTAATTTTTATTAGTTCATAGAGAAAATATATATATATATATATATATATATATATATATATATATATATATATATACAATGAACTCTCCCGTCGGTTTCGACGTATGAGGATCTGACAGCTTATTGATTCAGTTTATGCGATAATCTTAAGTGGCATTTAAGACCCGCTAGTGATTTACAAAGGAGGCCAAGTGTGAGGATTGTGAAATGAGATCACTCTTAGGTTGGGTGACCTTTTAGATTTTCCTCTTGCTTCTTGAAGATGATTCAGACAAGCAGATTGAAAATTACTGACTCCACTAAAACACGTTGATCTCCATTCTACCCGCTCCAAAGCTAAGCGCCCAAGGGTGTTATGTGGTATATTGACTGCTGACAAGTTCCTTTTCAGCTTGTCTTTGTATATTGACCATGGGCGTCCTACATTCCTGTATCCCTGATCTAACTGGCTGTACATATATATATATATATATATATATATATATATATATATATATATATATATATATATATGCGCATATAAAGGATGGCCAAAAGTAGGGTTCCACTTAGTAGGTATGCACTTTATATTTTTAAACACTTTATTACATTTATATTTATTCATTACAAACATATTTATTCAAAACTGTTTATGTACATTTGTCTCACACTTTACTTACGTTCTTTTAGCAGAATTTAATATCGTAAGTTCTTAAAGTGTCCTCCTTCAATACTGCAACCTGCTTCAAACATCTCCAGAACACTACGGCACACAGCAAGAGACAAATCCCGATCGGCATCAGTTTTAATAAATACTTCTGAAAGTTTACATTTAATTTCGTCCAATCTGTGGGGATTTCACCACTCATGAGCCTCGTTCTTTACTCCACACCAAAACAAGAAATCTATTGCTGTTATGTCAGGTGAACGTGTTGGCCATTCGATGCTGCCCACTTCTTCCGAAGCAACGCTTTGGGAAGGTTTAGTTAAGGTATCTTATTAACATTTACAAAACGTGTATAAAGGAGAGGGAATACTGGTTTGGAATTATGATTTGGATAAATTAAATCTAAAACATGAACCACAAAAGTAAACTTAAATTTGGCTCACAATCAATGTTATTTTTGAACAAGGCGAAGAATCTTTAGATGAAGGTAGACTTTGTTTAGAATATTACATAAAAAAAGATTTTCTCATTTAGGACACCATTTTTTAATATATGATATTTTTTTATATAATAATATAATCTAAACTAAGCCAAGTTAGCTACAAACGGGTAGAATCTAGTTTGAACTTGGATTAAAGTTGCCCTTCTAAATTGTTAATTACCCCTCTTAGGCGATACTATACTTAATTCAATCAAAGTAAAAAGAAATATCAATAATAGCACTCGCAATGAGAATAGTTTTCGTTATCAATGACATGCGAGATTTGCTTGTCAACTAAAATTCTACTGTACAAGCAATAATAAAATAATGTATAATAACGAGACATCTTTTCTTGTAGGTTTCTTTTTCAGCCTGTATATAACTTTCCACGCTAAAGCAAATATTAACCTATAGGCAAGGCCTAGGATGCACTGACTGCACCCCCTGCAAATTGTTAAGACCCTAATAAAACAGGCCGCCTACCAAGTAAAATAGAGGCTATTAGATGGAAATTTAAACGTCCAATAGTTACCAACCCCGTACCAATTAAATGTTTATAGTTTCAAACAAAAAAGTCTTAATATTTATCTAAACTCGATCCAAGTAAATGTCTATAGACTCAAATATAGTGGTGGGGATGGTAGATGTAATAGTGTAGTGAACTCATAGATGAACATCCTCGAATACGAATACCCGTCATGCGAGCCGTTTCCCAATGAATAAGGGAAAAGGGTAAAAGCCAACCAGAAAAAAAGAATACGACAACAGGAAATGCTTACACGAGTAAACAACGTTCCACCTGTTGGCCTGCCAAAAATAAATAATGATGCAGATGGCCTGTATAAACTCTCGTTTTCAGCGTTGAGTCTCGAAGGATTTACAAACTCTGAACGTGATCGGCGTTGTTCTATAAAACGGGTGATTTTGTACACGGTACGGTACGGTACGATGAGGTGAGGTGAGGTGAGGTGAGGTGAGGTGAGGTGCTGATTTGAATTTTTCCCCCACATAAAATTCTGCTACAAATATTAGTAATAATAAACATTGGATTCGACTTTAATAACCGTGCAAATGTTGATATGGCGTAAAAGCACTGGACCCAAACTTAAATCAGGCAGATATAAAAGATAACTAAATGAATCCTGCTTGATTCGGTTGCCTAATTTGGGGTTTGGTAAGGACTCGTTACTCCCGTATTTGGACTATTTGATAGAATTAACTTACTGATAGTGAGTTAAGCATAGACTGCCGCTAAACAAATTTAGTTGCACTATCAACCGTTAGCGTTCATATAGTTTGATTCTAAATAAAAATTTCAGTTAATATCTATTAAATCCCGTCAGTTTTAATACTTCTTATAATCTTTTATGCACCGGGTCTGTTCAGTGCATATGAGTTCTGGATATGACGATAAACTACGACTGGCAGCAAGACATCTGTTCGGAAGATTAGGGTTTTTTAGAAATGTAGAAGCACCTTTTGCTGTTGATCCTAAGTCCACCCAGACCCGCGTTGCTAGCACCTATGTTGCAGGCCCGGTAGGGTGCAGTGCTGGTTTATTACTAAGTGGCCTTGTGCCAGACACCACACTAAACTACCGAGTCTACAAGCAAAGTAAAAAGATAAAAATGTGCGTGAATGAACAACGAAGAAATGTGGTTAATCCACACGTGCATAAAATAAAATATATTAAGATAGCCGACACAGAATGACAGAACAAAGACTGGATTCCAACAAGAGTAATTTTATTAAATGCAGGAAAACAAGTAAATCATCCCGTAGTCGGGATCAATGAAAAAAGTTCCGCGCCAAAAGTAGAAAACAAGATGGCTAAAGGCGGGAAGGTTCTTGAAGAAGAAAAAGTTCCAGCTAAGTCAATGTACATGATAATATTCATACAAGGGAAAAAATACTCACTGCGAGTTTTTAGGTAATGTGAGTGAATGTTATGTACATATTTTTTTTCTTTTTTTGTACTGGTTCAAAACAGATTTATGACCAGACCCAAAGTGGACGACGAATTAATATTTTGTATGTTCTGCATCGTCTCGGAAAAGGACTTTGAATGACGAGTCACAAAGGGCCGAAAAGTTAATTCTTTGGTATATGCATCATCTCGTAGAAGGACTTGGAATGACGAGTCACAAAGGGCCGAGGAATTAATATTTTGGATGTTTCGCATCATCTCGGAGAAGGACTTGGAATGACGAGTCAAAAGGGACGAAGAATTAATTATTTGGTATATGCATCGTCTTATAAAAGGATTTTGAATGACGAGCCAAAAGGGACGAAGAATTAATTATTTGGTGTTGGCATCGTAAGATATCCTTCGTCAGTCAACCTTGCATATTGACATGGCTAAAAATGAGTCTGCTTAGGACTGAGTCTGGATCACCTACTGACTTTTTTGAAACAACAGTTTGTCGTTGACGTCACAAATTTTTGGCGGGAAGATTTCAAAAATCTAATTTGCATAAACAGGAGTAGCAGGTCGTTTGACTGCTGACCAAAACAGTTACTACTGTATTAGACCGAACGAGGGAGAAAGGGGTGTCAAACGCACGCGCGTGCGCCCGCGAGTGTGAAAGAAAGGGAGGAAACTCGCGCGCGCGTAAAATGTCGTAGATGGAATAATACATTATTCCACACAGCCCTCCTCCTGGATCAAATGTCGCAGACATTTGACTAATAATAATAGAATGTTTCAAATTTCTTTGGAAAGGTGACTTTTCGACCGGAGCTGGTATACTTAGGCTTGTCGAGAGAAACAGGTGTCTTGAAATTCTCCTGAACTTGAGTAGTTTATTGGGAAGTAGTATGAGACGACGGTTTCTCTATAAAGGCAGGTTTCAACCGATCTATTGAAACGTTGTCGGTGTGAATACCTTTCTGTATTTGGAAATATTTGTCCGCGCGTTTAAGAACGCGGTATGGGCCTGTGTAGGCCGGCGTAAGAGGCCGCTTAACAGAGTCGTTACGTACAAATACAAACTCGCAGTCCTTGAGCTGGTGCGGTAAATAGATATCACTCGGGCAGTGCCGCGGTGGTGTATAGCATAAGTTTGCCATTTTAAGGTGTAAGTCCTGAATAAAAGAGGAAGAAACTGGGGTGTGGTCACAGCTGGTGAAAAATATTGGCCAGGTAAAGATAACGAAGTACCAAATACAAGCTCTGCAGGGGAGCATTTCAAGTCATCCTTAAGAATATTTCTTAACGATAGAAGGATGAGAGGTAATTCATCGACCCAATTATTATTCTCATGCTTCGTTGATAGCGAAGCCTTAAGGGTGCGATGGAATTGTTCCACCAGCCCATTAGCACAGGGGTGATACGCTGTAGTACGTATATGCTTTGCACCAAGGAGTTCAGTGAATTCCCTGAAAAGACACGACTGGAACTGTGCTCCTCTATCTGTAGTAACCACTTTAGGAGTCCCAAAAATCGAAATCCAGTCGCATAAAATAGCTTTTGCGACAGTCACAGCAGTGGTATCTTTGACAGGGATGGCAGTAGGCCATCGGGAAAAACGATCCACTATAGTTAGAAGGTAGGAATAACCATGGCAGGTTGGTAGGGGCCCAACTAAATCCAGGTGTATATTAGTAAAACGAGCATCAGGCTCGCTGAAAGTGCCCACAGGAGATTTTGTGTGTCTATGCACCTTACACTTCTGACATTGTAAACATGTATTGACCCATTCGCGAATGTGAGCGTTCATATTCGGCCAAACGAAACGGTCCGAAATTAATTTAACTGTGGCTCTTTTGCTAGGGTGTGAAAGTCCGTGTAGGTGGTCAAAAACCTGTCTACGAAGAGACGGAGGAACATAAGGTCTCGGGGATTTGGATTTTACATCACAGTATAGGACCTTGTTACTAAAAGGAGCTGGACATTTCTGAAGTTCCAAAGAAGTGTCGGATAACACTTGCTTCAGAGTTATGTCCGCTTTCTGTTCGTCGGCGATCAAGTCTTGACTGAGTGCATCAGTATGCACGCCGAACATCTCAGTACGAGATAGGGTATCGGCAACAGTGTTATCCGAACCCTTAATGTACCTAATATCAGTAGTAAATTGAGATATATAGTCCAGATATCTGATCTCCCTCGAAGTGTATTTGTCCGAATTGGTGGACATAATGGACGTTAAAGGTTTGTGGTCCGTAAAGATGACGAAGGACCTACCTTCGAGGAGGTGTCTGAAATGCTTAATAGCACGAAAAATAGCCAACAGTTCACGAGAAAAGGTACTGTAGCGTGACTGGGCAGGAGAAAGTTTAGCGGAAAAGAACGCTATAGGTTTACGTTGAGAAGGACTGACTTGTTCAATGACCGCGCCTATTGCTGTTTCGCTAGCGTCAGTGGTCAGGTAGATATCCGATTGAGGGTCGTTCTCTAAGAAACTGAGCTTAGAAAAATTGCCTAGAGCGGTTTTAGCTGCTCGAAAGGCGTCCAAGGCTTCATTCTCAAGTATAATAGTCTTATTCTTCTTCTGTAATAAGTTGGTAAGGGGAGTCAGAATGTTAGAACAGTTTGGAATAAACCTCCTGTAGAAGTTGATCATCCCTATAAAGCGTCTCAACTGTTTAATAGAAACAGGGACGGGAAACTCAGTGATAGCTTCAATCTTTTCAGTTAAAGGGGCAATTCCATTTGCATCGACATGATGTCCTAAAAATTCTATATGGTCTGATCCGAAGACACATTTGTCCAGGTTTAGACGAAATCCGTAATGGGACAAACGTTGAAGAACTTCGTGTAGGTGTTGCTTATGCGAGGCAGCGTCCTCGCTAGCTATCAGAATGTCGTCAATGTAATCGAAAAAAAAAAGGGAGTCCACGCAGAACCTCGTCCATAAGACGCTGAAAGGTCTGTGCTGCGTTGCAAAGGCCGAAAGGCATTTTCAAAAAATTCAAATAAACCGAAAGGTGTAGTAACAGCAGTTTTTGGGACATCAGCAGCAGCTACTGGCACCTGATAATATGCTTTTTGCGAGATCTATTTTAGTAAAAATCTTTGCGCCTTGTAAACCAGAAGTGAAATCGTGGAGGTGGGGGATTGGATAACGATCCCGGACGGTGATGGAGTTCAATCTTCTATAATCCACACAAATTCTATAGTCTTCCTTTCCTGGTTTAGGTACCAAATGAAGAGGGGAAGCGTAGGGACTGTCGGACGGACGAATAACACCCTCTCGTAGCATGTCGTCGAAAGCTTTCTTTGCGAATTTTAATTTGTTAGGTGCTAGACGACGAGGACGGGAAAAAACAGGTTGACCAGTGGTCTTAATAAAGTGTTGTGTTTGATGTTTAGTTGAATCAATAGATCCAGCAGGACGCAGGAGGTCCTGGTACTGATTCAATAAGTCTAAGTACTCTTTATTGTGGCAAGTTGCCACAGTGATGCCAGTGGTGGTAAGTTTAGAATAAGTGCCAAGAACACACAGTCTTGTTAAGTTGTCAGTCAGGGAATGGTTGTTCATTCGCACGGCGAGATCATAGTGCGCCAGGAAATCGGCACCTAATATCGGCATCTGGACGTCAGCAACACTAAAATTCCAAGTAAAGTCTCGTCGCATCCCTATGTTTAGGGTAAGGGACTTCGTACCGTAAGTATTAATACTGGAACCATTTGCTGCTTGTAGGCGGAGCTGGAAAGGTTGTTTACGTGCTTTATCACGCACGGGTAAGACACTAATGGCAGCGCCGGTGTCAACCAAAAAACGTAAATTATTACGTGTATCCGTCACATAGAAAAGGCGACTAAGTTTTGGTGAAAATGCCTTGCCAGCGAGATTAGTCGCTTTCACTCGCTGGCGGTTTTGTTTTCCCGCGACCGCAGTATAGGAACACGGCTTGGTGCAGTAGTGTGCTGCAGACCCAAATCGTCGGTGGTAGTAACACATAGTAGAAGTGGCATCCTTGTTCCGACTGGACGAGCGAGGTCGACTTCTGAAGCGCCGGCGGGAGGGGAACCGGCTTCGACCATGGCTTTTTAGAGCCAATGTTAAATCTCTCACTTGGCGCTGCAAATCCTCCACTGTTTTTTCCAAGGACCTGTGGTCCCTAGTCGCTTCAGCACTGTGTACTGGCGTTGTCTGATTATCCAGTTGCGAGAAAATACGATCAGCGTCGTCCGCTAATTGATCGATCGGGGTGTTTTCGGACATGGGCGCCAAAATTTGTGTAATGGTGGTGGGGAGACGGTCCAGCCATAAGCTTTTCAATATAGAGTCAGCCATGGTATTTTTGCCGAGTCGGCTTTTCATATAACGAAGGAGTTGGGAGGGAGTCCTGCCATCGCAAGTTAGGTTGCTAAATAGTTCCCGGATTAATGATTCCTCCGTACGGCCCATTCTCCGTAAGATCGCTTCTTTTAACCGGGCGTAGGGTTCTACTTCAGGAACGGTTTCTAGGAAGTCTGCTACTTCGTCGACAATGGCGGGTGGCAAACCGCCGCCACCACGGCCAAACTTTGTTTTTGGTCTGTAATCCTTCTGACTGTAAAGATAGCTTCCATTTGCAGGAACCAGTTCTTTATATTCCCTTCATAAAAAGGGGGGAAAAGGAGCGACGGCGGCGGTCATGTTCGCCAACTCTTCAGAGTCATTAGACGTCATTCTGGCAATCGAATTTATGCACGTTTATATTTCAGCTTGCTCAGAATTATGTTGGCAAGGTTGTAAAATTATTGCGTGTTCAAATCACGTCGGGGTCACCAAACTTGTTGCAGGCCCGGTAGGGTGCAGTGCTGGTTTATTACTAAGTGGCCTTGTGCCAGACACCACACTAAACTACCGAGTCTACAAGCAAAGTAAAAAGATAAAAATGTGCGTGAATGAACAACGAAGAAATGTGGTTAATCCACACGTGCATAAAATAAAATATATTAAGATAGCCGACACAGAATGACAGAACAAAGACTGGATTCCAACAAGAGTAATTTTTATTAAATGCAGGAAAAACAAGTAAATCATCCCGTAGTCGGGATCAATGAAAAAGTTCCGCGCCAAAAGTAGAAAACAAGATGGCTAAAGGCGGGAAGGTTCTTGAAGAAGAAAAGTTCCAGCTAAGTCAATGTACATGATAATATTCATACAAGGAAAAAAATACTCACTGCGAGTTTTTAGGTAATGTGAGTGAATGTTATGTACATATTTCTTTTTTTTTTTTGTACTGGTTCAAAACAGATTTATGACCAGACCCAAAGTGGACGACGAATTAATATTTTGTATGTTCTGCATCGTCTCGGAAAAGGACTTTGAATGACGAGTCACAAAGGGCCGAAAAGTTAATTCTTTGGTATATGCATCATCTCGTAGAAGGACTTGGAATGACGAGTCACAAAGGGCCGAGGAATTAATATTTTGGATGTTTCGCATCATCTCGGAGAAGGACTTTGAATGACGAGCCAAAAGGGACGAAGAATTAATTATTTGGTATATGCATCGTCTTATAAAAGGATTTTGAATGACGAGCCAAAAGGGACGAAGAATTAATTATTTGGTGTTGGCATCGTAAGATATCCTTCGTCAGTCAACCTTGCATATTGACATGGCTAAAAAATGAGTCTGCTTAGGACTGAGTCTGGATCACCTACTGACTTTTTTGAAACAACAGTTTGTCGTTGACGTCACAAATTTTTGGCGGGAAGATTTCAAAAATCTAATTTGCATAAACAGGAGTAGCAGGTCGTTTGACTGCTGACCAAAACAGTTACTACCGTATTAGACCGAACGAGGGAGAAAGGGGTGTCAAACGCACGCGCGCGCGCCCGCGAGTGTGAAAGAAAGGGAGGAAACTCGCGCGCGCGTAAAATGTCGTAGATGGAATAATACATTATTCCACACCTATTAGGATCCCAGTTATGGACCAATAATGAATCCCCCCCCAAAAATGCTATGAAAATATAAAAATACATTTTTATAGCAAAAATAACAGCAATACAGTTTTATATAAAAAATGACCAAGAAACGAAACATATTTATATAAAATGATTAACAATTGCGTTCAAAATATATTTAGTGGAAGCCCTAAAATTGTGTTGAAAGCGTTTAAATTTCGGCATTAAATAACCCATATAGAGTGATATGCGCTAAACAAATTGAAACAGAAACAAGACATGTGAGTTCATGCCTTTCCAAAACTTTCTATTCTTCATAGCTCTAAGCAGATTTCGTGCTTTTACTCTCTCTCTCTCTCTCTCTCTCACGCACACACACACACCCTGTTCTTCTATCACATGCCGCAAACACTAATGTTTCTCTTTATACATCTTGTTTACAATATGACCTGTGAGTGCCCAAATTTCCAAGACTTTAGTCCTGAAGGGCGTCTCACTCAAAATAGTATTACGGTTGATATTCGTGTTCCTATTATAATTAGAAACCTTATAACTTGAGCATAGTCGTTTATGAGAGAAAAATGATAATGTTAAGATATACAAAAAGTATTTTCCCATTTATTTTATGTACGGTTGTGTTTGATACAAATATAGAATATATTTTGCTGGAGGTTCTACAAAAATATCCTGGTATTTCACTTCCATGATCAATCACAGATGATTTTGGTATAAAAGTCTAAAATATATGCCTATGAATGCAAGTGAAATTGCTTGTAAAGCACGTTTGAGAAATTTCCTGTCTATAAAAAAAAGACAATGGTTTCGTGAATGAATGGATTACGTATCTGAGCAAATTTTAGAAATATTTATTTCTTTGCGAACGTTACAAAACAACATATGAACAAATGAAACGAATTTTGTGTCTGCATCTTTAGCTTTCGCTGGACAAGAATCCTTACAGTCTAGTGAGAACATATCAGTTTATCTTAAGCGATAGAGTCGAAATGTTTGTTTTTCAAAAGAACCGGCTGCTTAAAACGTGTATATGGATAACAATTTTGAAAAAAATTTTGAAAAAAATTTTGAATAAAGTAATCCGTCAGAGAGCTTAAGATTAATCCAATGTGATCTCTGATACTCGATTCACAGAAAATGTGTCAGCGATCATTGGCGGAGCATTTATAAAATATTTAACTTTTACTTGCTTTGTTCATTACAAATGATTTACGAGATAATACTGCTCCTTGAGGCTATCTCAGCAAAGTTAGAGTAATCTAACTGTTAATTAAAATGTCACATGAGGGAGCTTTCTTGCAAATTTGAATAAGTAACTTTCGTGGGAAAGCCTTACAATTTAGTGAAATAAAAATGTGTAGAAGTATTTATCACCAGCAAAAAAAAGACTTGAAAATGCAAAGTAAGCAGACTTTTGCAGAGAGTACTTATTTCTGTAATGAAAATAACTTTACGGAGACAGCAAAATAATTAAACCTTACAAAACCGACATCATATCTACAAACAATAAAAAGGACATTACACACTTTCATTACGCTGATTGAAGAACTGTTCTTTTGATAAAAGAGCTGTAAAATTGAGAGCCTTTAACTAGCTTTTTTCCTATACAAGAAGACTTACTTTAAATAAGGCTAAATTCCGTAAGATGCAAAGTAGTCACTGTACGACTGTCGGTTAAAATTTATAAAATCTTTTTCTTAAAACATTTTTTTCTGAAAAAAAAAAGGTTTCTTACGTCCAGATCCTTCAAGTTTTCATCCTAACCTTTTTATTTGAAACAGTGTGGAAGGGCAACCATTATTTTTTCTTCGTGTTATATGCACGATCAATTTTAGCTGTTGCTGCTGTTGAAAATCTGCAAGTGATGTGGCTTCTGTCATTGAGTACAACTCTTTGAGACTCTGTATCGCCAGTCAACAAGGTTAAAAAGAAAGTGTGGTCTTTACCAGGGCCTTCACACACTCAATACCATTTTAATCATAGAAAATGGTTGCACACAGCTGAGAACCTGATTCTAGTTTTCAGGTCAATGTTTTAGTCTTTGCAGCAAGTCGCGGTGTTGGGGTAAAACTACCTCGAGTGCAAACTATTAGGTTGGTGCAAAAATAATGACGTAATAATGTCGTTTTTTGACGTTAAAAAATACGTCAAAAAACGACATTATTACGTCATTATTTTTGCACCAACCTAATATTTTATGTTTCCTTATATCTTATTCTTAATTGCTTATAACTGATTCATATATCGAGTTAGTTGAAATATTTGGTATTTATTAAATCTACATCCTTAATTTGGGGGGATGAATTCATGACAGGTGCTTTTTTCTGCTTTCATTTCAATTCAAAATCATAGTTTCTAGTTTGCAAAGTTTTATTTCAAATTTTGTCTTATTGGTCTTATTGGTAAAAAGTTGACATTCTTTTCACGATCATTGGCATAATCCCCACTCATCATTATATTGACCTAGGAAAGAAAAGCAGAATCATCGTTTTCTATTAGTTGATTCGTTTGGTATGTAATATGGAATTCTTAAATGATCAGCGCCTATCTCTTCACTTCTCTTCGTTTGTAAATACACAGATGTATCGAGAAAAATGTTCATAAAGAATTATTCTAAAAACATTTATCCGAATTGTAAGTTGTTCAAATAGAAATTAATGGAAAAGACAGTTAAACTAAATGATAATTATTCGACATACCTATGTTTGAAATACATATGTGGTTTTGCTTGTAGAGAGTCAATGCTGGTTTACCTAAAATAAATAACACCCTTGAAGGATGACGTAGGGTTTTTGCAATAAGTGTCATCCCATCATCCCACAATATGGAAATACTTAGACGCTCTTAAAAGAGAACAGGTTTTGCAAGAAATTTATATTGCTAAAGGGCATGTTGCCAAAATATCAAGAGCGCCAAGAAATACCGCAACATAAATGGAAAACTTTAAAAATTAGTAGCATGCTTTAATGAGTCCTCTTCAGTAGTTGGCTATTTGCGTGCAGTATCATATAACCTATGGTTATACATATATTAAAATAATAAGAAAGAACAGTAAGATTTATAACCCGGTGTTCTTGGCCATTATTTTTATTAAAAAAAACAGTGCTCGATACACACAGTACAGCAAAATATTATAATTATTTTCTCTTTTAAAAAATATAATTCCATCGCTACAGAGAAATTTCTACGTTTCAAAACTGAAGCTAAATTTATAAATTTAATTACAAAAATTAAACTTAAAATCCATAGTCGCGTTCAAGCGATGTTAGGAAAACCTTTCTAATAAATTTACTTATTTATAATCGCAGACAATATTAATACTATGAGTTGTTATAGTTAAGGAAAATTCAATCTATTTTGATTAGGGGTGGTTGGGTTTTAATTTCCCCAGAGAGCTTATGCATCGAATATATGCTACTTACAAAGTCAGGTTAAGTTTAGGTGGGGCGGGACATTAACTTCGGTGATCGTATGAGAACCATTGTTTCAACGTGATATGACCGTAACCCCCCACAAAAATATGCATCTTCTATGTGCCAGGACGTTGGAGACCATGGCTCTCCACAATTTTCTATTTTCTGTAGCTCTTAGTAAGGATTTTCTTTTTGCTGTCTCTACTAATCTCTGTTATGTCATCTATTTACGCAATCTCGTCAGGTAGGTCATACGCTGATTTCCTCTATTCATCTTGCCTTCAATATGTCCTGTGATTATCAAGTTTTCCAAGACCACTTGCCTCATATGCTTCTGTCTCTTCTGATGTTAAATATAAGTATCCTTTTTATTTTTGTTTAGTCTAAAACTTTGTTATTCCTCATATGTCCATCCCATTGTATTCTCAACATCCTTCTGTAGAACTAAATTTATATTAACTCAAGGTTTTTCTGCATCAGCAATGAGATTGCTTAGCAATCACTGCCATATAAGATGACCGATATTACCTAGCAGTCCGATACTCTTTTCTTCGTTTTTTTTTTTTTTTTTTTTTTTAACGAGATGTTCCCTTTTTTAATTACTTAGATTTTGGAAGGTATCATTCACTATCCCGATACGCCTTCGGATTTCAGTGTCGCAATTTTCCGTTCTCTGTTAAAACACATCCCATTTGATTTTATTGTAGTACTTGCTTGATTTTAGTATCTCCAATTTGTAATTTTCATATTGGACTGTTCCTTTTGTTAATGTTTAGTCCTACCTTCTCGATTTCCTTCACTACGTTCTGTAGGAGTTCTTATGGTTTCCTTTCCGTGTTTGCTATTAACACAGTCATCTGCATATCTTGTGTTCTTAACATTGTGACCCCCAACAATGAATCCTGCTTGAACTTCGAATTATTTCAGGATCGGTGATAAGTAACATTCTTGACTTATACCACTTTCTGTTTTTGTATATATAATGAATTGATTTCCCCGTCAAGAAAACAATTTTAATAATTTATCATATTAAGTAAAATATCTTCCTCCTCATACGCTATCAAATTATGATACCCTTAACACATATTCTTTTATATTTATTTATTTATTTATTTACTTCGTACAACAATTTAAGTAATTATATACGTATTTCCACTATTAATATTATTTGAATTGTTTTCCTCATCTTTATTGCCATATTCACGAAATTTCGCCCGTTGCACGCTTCGGCATTTTTCAGGTTTCATTTCTTGGATTTTTGAACCAAACCCTTTATTTAGTCTACGATGGGGGGGTAGTTATTCTAATTCTCCGTCTCATGCCTTTGGATATCTATCCCTGTGGACTAAATAAAGGGTTCGGTTCGAAATTCAAAATCACATGAAGAAGGTTTGATTCTACAGCAGTCGAGATATCATAAATATGGCAATAAAGATGAGAACAACAGTGCGATAAATGTAAATAGTTACTATACCTCATCTTGGAAATATAGACAAATTATATACGTATCTCACTTACAAACCGTTAACAATATAAGCTACTTGTATTCAAGAATCGTACATTTAAAAACAATTTATGATATGTTTCATACAGCAGAGGCACTCTATTTCGGAGATTGGTGCAACTCAGCACGTCCTCACCGACACACGCCATCTTATGTGACGCAATGTCAAACTCGCTATATTTACTTAACAGCCTTCCGACATAGAAATCTAGAATTCTGTCTTATTTTCACTTGCAAAATTTTCTAACCCCATTTTATGCGATAGATCCAATTGAATTGTCAGCAAATAATTATCCCATTATATTTGTAATTGGGCTGAATGAGTAAGAATTTCTTAATCCTAAAGGCAGATAAGAATACGATTATTTTCGGTGTTCTGTTGTCTCTTGAAATAACTGAAGGCTCCAGGGTAGTGATCTTACAGCTTCTCGTAGAATAAACGTTAAGATGTTAAACAAGCAATATGTTGCTATCGATTTTCATAAGATCTTATGTTCCTTTTGTATGACTACTAAATTTATTAAATATCGACATATTAAGAAAGTCTCATGCTGCAAAGCTTCAGTTTAGAGGCTGCTTTTGCCGGAATTATAACCGATTCTCTAAAACCTTTAACATTGTGACCTTTCATTTGGTCTACTGCAGAGAGATTGTTAACATGGCAGCCTTGCAGGCCATTTTAAAACTATCCTGTTCTCTATCTGGATGTTCTGTAATCATGGTCAATTTCAGTCTATGCTAATTCTTGAAAATATCTCATGAAAGTCTTCTTAAACGTTTTCCTAATCCTTGCTCTTGAGAGAAAATGTAACCTCCATTCTTGATAAGATTGGGTATTAAGAACTTGATCTAGTGGGTAATGTTGGTGGTGCCTTGGAGTAAACCAGCATTTCACATAAGTATGTTTCAGATAGGAGATCGACATATAATATTAGCTCAAAGCAATCTATCCAAAAATATATTTACTTGTTAGACACACACACACACACACACACACACATATATATATATATATATATAACATATTTAGGCTGTAATCTTTC